ATATATATATATAATATATATATATATTGTGTATATATATATAAATTGTAAGTCCCCACTGATGTAAATAAATAAATGGAAGTTTTTATGAGTGATGGGATATTTACCTAGTGCCTCCCTACAAAGCGTTTGTTAATTTAAAAGAGGAAGAGAATAGCTTTACAGTGGGGAAGAGTGAAGACACCTTATTCAAACGATCAAAGTTAAGATCTGCAATAACAGGTGCACACCTGTAGTCCAGTTACTCAGGAGGCTGAGGTGGGAGGATTTATTGAGCTCGGGAGTTCAAGGCCACAATGAGCTATGATTGCACCACTGCACTCCAGCCTGGGCAACAGAGCAAGAGTCTGTCTCACAAAAAAAAAAAAAAAAAAAAAAGCCGTGGTGACTCATGCCTGTAATCCCAGGACTTTGGGAGGCGAGGCGGGCAGATCACAAGGTCAAGAGATTGAGACCAACCTGGCCAACAAGGTGAAACCCCATCTCTACTAAAAATACAAAAATTAGCCTGGCATGGTGACGTGCACCTGTAATTCCAACCATTCAGGAGCCTGAGGCGGGAGAACCGCTTGAACCTGGGAGCCACAGGTTGCAGTGAGCCAAGATCATGCCACTGCATTGCAGCCTAGCAACAGAGCGAGACTCTGTCTCAAAAAACAAACAAACAAACAAACAAAACATTAGCTTTTCAATAATGGGACAAGTAAAAATCACTGTGTCATCTGTTATGTTACAATGAGAAGGACAGAGCATCACTCCTGTGATAGTTTGTGACACACAAAATTTACAGCTGCTTCTAGTCTTAAGACATACAACTTGAATCTAATCAGGAAGAAACATCAGATAAACCCAAAATGAGGGATATTCTATAAAGTAACTGTCCTGGGGACGGGCCCGGAGTTCGAAACCAGCCTGACCAACACGGAGAAATCCCGTCTCTACTAAAAATACAAAAAGTTAGCTGGGCGTGGTGGCAGGTGCCTGTAATCCCAGCTACACAGGAGGCTGAGGCAGGAGAATCACTTGAACTTGAGAGGTGGAGGTTGCAGTGTGCCGAGATTGCGCCACTGCACTCCAGCCTGGACAACAAGAGCAAAACTCCATCTAAAAAATAAAAAGATTAAAAAAGTCAAGCAAGTTTTACCTACAGATCTAGGTTTCTGGTTTCCCTTCAGGAACTGGAAAAGCTAGCAGCTCTGGGGGATGAGTAGTCACATGAAGAGCCTGATAGCTCCCTCCCTCCCTCCTTCCCTCCCTCTCTTCCTCCCTTCTTTCCTTCCTCTCTCTTCTCTTTCTTTCTTTTTTCTTTTCTTTTCTTTTTTTCAATTTTAAGAGACGAATTCTTATTTTGTTGCCCAGGCTGGAGAGCAGTGGCACAATCATAGCTCACTCCAGCCTCCAACTCCTGGGATCAAGGGATCCTCCCACTTCAGCCTCCCAAGTAGCTGGGACTACAAGCACATGCCACCATGCATGACTAATAGTGCCCTTTCAATGGGCTATGTGGCCCCCAATTCTCCAGAGTCTCCACCACTCCTCACTATGTCATGACCAGCCCATAGCACCCATTTAGGCTACCAGCCTGGCCCCTATCACAAGATATGGAAAGGCAAGGATCCATCCTAGGCCAGGGACTGATCATATTTGTTGGATTGATGAAGGAGTAGACGAATGGATGGATGAACTTTCAAGATGCTCCATTATCTTCAGAGCAATGACCTATGTCAGTGCATCAAGCCGATGTTCCACGGTAAGCTACTTCTTGAATTGGCCATAGTTCCTGAATGGTTTGTCTGGAATGGAACAGGTTGAGAAATCAGGGTGTTGTCTGATGCCAGAGGTCCCCAAGTAGGGTGCAATCTCTGTGGAATTGATGGAGGCGTCTGACAGGTGGGTAGGGCTCTGGCACTGGGACAGGGGTTGGGCGGGCCAGTGAGGCTTCAAGGAGATGGTATCGAAGGATGCCCGAGGTAGTGAGGTTGGGTGGGGTGGGAACAAGCTGAGCTGATGGCTTGGGATCCTATCAGTGTGAGATCTGACTTGATGAGGCATGTCAGGGTCTGGGTATGAGCAAGAGTTGACATTAGCTTTTTCTCCCCCAGCCCCTCCAGCCCCTCTCACTTCCTGATTCTACCTGGGTCATGGTTTGAAACAACCTCTTCTCTCACCTGCCCCCTGAAAGATTAAAACATTCAGGCTGGGCACAGTGGTTCACACCTATAATCCTAGCACTTTGAGAAGCCAAGATAGGAGAATTGCTTGAGCCTAGGAGTTCAAAACCAGGCTGGGCAACATAGCAAGACCCCATCTTTACACAAAAACAAAAAAAATTAGGCTAGCATGCTGGCATGTTCCTGTAGTCCCAGTTACCTGAGAGGCTGAGGTGGGAGGATTGCTTGAGCCCGGAAGGTTGAGGCTGCAGGGAGCTGTGATCACACCACTCCAGCCTTGGCTACAGAGTGAGATCCTGTCTCTCTAAAAAAAAAAAGAAAGAAAACATTCAATATTCATATTCAACAAGATTCAGCAGAAATGCGCTAGTGATTTCCCATTGCCTTTAACACAAAATCCAAACTCTTCAGCACTCCCTTCCTGCCCCAACACACTCCAGCCTCTGCTCACCTCCCTGACCTCAACTCCTATCACCCTACTCACTCTTGCCCTCCCTTGCCCATTCCCATTTCCTCCCCTGACCCCCCTCCCCATTCCCAGCACCACACCAAGCTCTTTGTAACCTTAAGGCTTTTGCTCATGTGCCTCACACCTCAAGTCTTTTTTTTGGGGGGGGAGGGGGGACAGAGTCTTGCTCTGCCCAGGTTGGAGTGCAACGGTGTGGTCTCAGCTCACTATAACCTTGGCCTCCCCGGTTCAAGCAATTCTCCCTGCCTTAGCCTCCTGAGTAGCTGAGATCACAGCCACCATGCCTGGCTAATTTTTGTACTTTTTAGTAGAGATGGGGTTTTGCCATGTTGGCCAGACTCACACCCCAAGTCTTTTATTGTACTTCTCCTCCAAGTCTCAACTCAAATATCACCTCTTCAGAGGTGCTGCCCCCAAACCCCCACCTCTGATCTCAGCCAGCAGGCTTCAGTCATCCTCAGTCACTCACTGTTTTATTTCCTTCACATACTCATCAGTGTCTGAAGCTGTCTTACCAATTTGTGTATCGCATTGTGCCGTGTCCCTGACCAGAATGTCGGCTCCACAAGGTCAGGGATTGTGTTTGTTGTTCATCACTTTATCTTCAGTGCCCAGTGGAGTGCATGGTACAGAGTGGGGGAGGGGAGGCGGGGGGCATGGACACAAATGTTTATTCTGGAATGAATAAGAGGCTCTCGACAATGGTGTGTTAGATTTTTGCATAACTTGGGCATTGGGTTTAGGACATGAGCATCTAGGTGGGTTGTGGCTGAGGTAAATTGTGATTCAAGGTGTGAGAAGCATGGACCCTTGGCTGCTGGGGAAAGGTCAGGTTGTGATTGAATTGGTATAAACTGGGCTGGCTCCAACTGTCACTGGTAGAAGGTGTCCAGGTTCTTGGCATCTTGGCCAAAACACACAAATAAAGCGAGGAAAGCAAAAGCAGGGATTTATTGAGAAAAAATGTGTTAAAATGCGTACTTTGAATGAAGAGACCCCCCCCAAACAGGCTTTGTATAAGCAACATGGCTGTTTATTCCCCTGGCTGCAGGTGGGCCAAGGCCGAAAAGGACATTAGCGAAGGGCGGTGGGATAGGAGTTGGTTTTATAGATTGGGGCAAATCTTTTGGGGAGGGGGCAGGGGTGTTACGGAGTAAGATCAGTTACAGTGGTGGGGGTAGGGGCAAGGAATATACATTACCGTAAGTTCAGGGGAAGCTCCGCTGGGCGATCAGGGATAATGGCGAACGCAGGCAGGGGTGGGGGTGATCAGCCGAGGGCAGGCAGGACTTTAGACTTTCTGGGTCCTGGCTTGCACATGGAGGCCTGACAGAAAGTCCATCCCACAGTGTGGGAGCGGCCCGAGCATAGAGGCTCAAGAGCCAGGCTTACAGAATTTTATGGGGTTTCAATACTCTAGGGGTTTCCCATTGGTTACTTGATGAATATTCTATGTTAATGAAGAGAATGAAGTCACAGAGTCATTTATTCAGAATGTGCCCTATTGCAAATGGAGAGGATGTTACTTGGAGTGTGTGGTCCATGTAATAGAGAGGATGAATGTGAAGTTACAAAGTGTGAAGTGCATGAATGGAGAGGATGAAGTGAAGTTGTAAAACCATTCACATTCCTGTCATTGCTGAGGTGCTCTCATTCGACTTAGGTCTAGGAAGTCAGCATGGATCGGCCTTACGTTTCCTGCCTCCAGGCCCTATTCTCCTGCCTCACAACAGGTAACATCAGACTGTTGAGGGCAGGCAGGACCCAGATTTCGGGAAGCAAGAGTCGTCCAGCAGGGCAGTGGGTGAGTTAGGCTGTGACTTCAGCCGTGTTCAACAGGTATAATGTCACTGAAGACGAAGAATCAAGCAATGGAGCGTCTCCGTCGGTTGTAGCGAAAGAGAACCGTGACCAACAGGAAAGCAGTGTCCACCCAGGTCATTTGGGGTTATTGGGGAACAATTTTTGGGGAAACGGGGGTCCTGGGGAGCGTTGGTTGGTTAGGACTGTAACCTAAGCTGGCGGGAGGGTCGTGAGCTGTGACCTGGCCCGAGGCGGCCTGTCCGGGTCGGGGGGCCAAGCAGGGGGTGGCGAGAGGCACACCTAGGGAAGACTCACCTGGGAGCGGCTCACCGGGGCCCTTCGGGATCCAAGAGCTGGCGCGCCACCTCTGCGCCCCGCCCCCGGCCCGGCCCCCGGCCAATGGCGGCGCGGAGACCTCGGCGGCGGGCGCGGATTGGGAGCTGGCGAGCAGGGGGCGGGGCGGCGCGCCTGGCTGCTTAGGCGCTTGGCCGGCGGGCGGCGCTGAGCGCTCGCTACTGGGGCGCAGCGCGGGCGGAAGTGGCGACGCTGGCGTCCCCGGAGCCTGCGGCGGGAGGCTGTGACGGCCGCGGCGCTGACGGCGGCGGCCCGGGGGGCGGCGTGGACGCCCGCGGCGCCGGCTGGGGCATCACCGCGGGTCTCGACCCCGAAATGGCGCTGCTGGCCGAACACCTGCTGAAGCCGCTGCCCGCGGACAAGCAGATCGAGACCGGGCCCTTCCTCGAGGCGGTGTCCCACCTGCCGCCCTTCTTCGGTGAGCCGGAACGGAGGGGGAAGCGTCCCGCAGCACCACGCGCACCCGAATCCTTCCTCCCCCGAGCATCCCCTAACCACCTCTGCCCTAGACACCCCAAATCCTGTTTCCCCAGGCACCCAAGATCCTCTTTCCTTCCACACACCCTAAATTCTCCCTTTCCCGGGCCACTTCCAAGTCCTCTCCCCTCTGAACATGTCACATCGTCCCTCTCCTCCCCAAATCCTCCCTCTCCCTGGATACCTCACATTCCTCCATATCCCCCAAGTGCCTCACGGTCATCCGTCCCCCCAACACCCCTTACTCTTCCGTCTCTCCTAGGCGTGCTCCAATCCACCATCTCCCCCGAAGCCTCCTGCCCCTTTTTCCCCAAAGTCCTTCATGCCTGGCGCTTTCTGATGGTTCTCAACTCCCTTCCCCTACAATGAATCCCCCCTCATAAGCCTTCTCTTTGAACGCTTCTAGCCTCTCCCTCACGGGACAAATGAACCCTTCCTTCTTCCCTCAGAATTCCCCCATTCTAGATCAGAGACTCCCCGCCTCCCCCTCCAAGGGTAGTAAGCCTGGTGAGGCGGGACGGGGAAGGGGTTTTGAAGCTGGAGCTGCAAAAGTCCCGGGGCTCTCTCTAGGGGAAACCACCTAATGTTTTTCCTCCTTCTAGGACAGGGGTGAGAGTTAGGGGAGCAGGGGAGCTGTTTTGTGAGGTGACATCAGACATACAGAGCTTGGCACTAATTCCTTCCTCAGTTTGGGCTCTACAAGAGGAAGCGCCTCCCCTATAAGTCATGCGGAAATTCCTGGGAGCACTGGGAAGGCAGTCCACTTTCAGACCCTTTCCCCCCACTCCCATTTTCCATCTGGAGCCCAGCCAAGGCTCCAGATGGAAAATGGGAAATAGAAGCCAGTACCACTGCCCTGCCCTTTGCCTTTTGGGTCCTGGGTAAAGGGTGCGACCTGAGCCTCTGTTCTCCTCCTCCATGTGGGCTGTCTCACCCTGCTGGTTCACTTGGTGGCCTTGCAGGAAGATACCAGCCCCCAGGGCAGAGTCCAGCTGAAACCCACAAACAGGAGACCATAAGACAGATGGACTTGGTGGGCGATGAAAGCTTATTGGGGGTGGCAGCTCTGGGAGGTTTGTGGTTACCTGGAGTCTATAGTTCCCCTCCTCCACCTCTTGAGCCTCAGTGTCCCCAGCTGTGAAATGGGGATGCTGATCTCCTAGGCCAACTGTGAGGAGTAGATGATGTGCTGTGTGTAAAGCACTGAGGCCCTAAGTACCAAATAGATCTTCGCTGTGGGGGCCGTGGTTATAAGTTCCTGAATCCAGTTTTGGTTCCTTGCTAGAGTGATTAATCAGTGTTTGAGGGAGTGCAGTTGTCTGGCGTGCATGATTCTCAGACCTGGGTAAGCGATCTGGGAGCAAGCGCTTGGTCTTTTAAATCCACCATGTGTCCCCAGTGCCCAGAACTGTGCCTGGCACATAGCAGATGCTCAGTCAATACTGCTAAATGCACAAAACTTTCTTACTATCAGTGTTGTAGTCTTGAGGCAATGCTCTCCAGGCAGGGGCTTGGGAGTGAACCGGCTCTAGCATTGCGAAGTTGTTTAATTTTGTGACAGCGTTGTTGTTGTTTTTTGCTTGCTTGTTTCCTCTTTGGTTCCAGGAATAGTTTCTTTTTTTGGGGAACGAGTTTCACTCTTGTTTCCCAGGCTGGAGTACAATGCTGTGATCTCGGCTCACTGCAACCTCCGCCTCCTGGGTTCAGGCAATTCTCCTGCCTCAGCCTCCTCAGTAGCTGGGATTACAGACACGCGCCACCATGCCCAGCTAATTTTTTTTTGTATTTTTAGTAGAGACGGGGTTTCACCATGTTGGCCAGGATGGTCTCGATCTCTTGACCTTGTGATCCACCCGTCTCGGCCTCCCAAAGTGCTGGGATTACAGGCGTGAGCCACCGCGCCCGGCCCACATTTTGTATTTTTAGTAGAGATGGGGTTTCTCCATGTTGGCCAGGATGGTCTCGAACTCCCAACCTCAGGCGATCCGCCCGCCTCGGCCTCCCAAAGTGTTGGGATTATAGGCGTGAGCCCCTGCACCTAGCCACACCAGAACTAGTTTCAAGTCAGAGCCAGCTTGCCCTGGACAGGGATTCAGAATCCATTTAAGCCAGTGGTTCTCAACTGAGAATAGGGGACATCTAAGAATGCTGGAGACATTTTTGTCACAACTAAGTTGGGGGAGGGGGCGCGGGGTGTTTGTGGGTAGAAGCCAGGGAGCTGCTCCTCAACAGCCTATAGTGCACAGGATAGTCCCTCCACCACAAAGAATGATCCAACCCCAAATGTCAGCAGTGTCAAAGGTGGGGAAACCCTGGGTTAAACTGGGTGGCTTTTTCTTCCCTTATTTTCAGCGAGGTTGCACATCCATTCTGCATTTGGGGGTACCATCATTTGATGCGATTATCTGGCTGGTTTTGGAAGAAAGAGGGAGGTGGCAAGCCAGAGCCAGCAGCATCTGGTGCCAGGGCTGAAGAGCATCTCCTCCTCCCTTTCCCTGATCTCAAAGGACCCTTGTCTGTGTTGCAGTCCCTGTGCTGTGGGATGTCACATCTGTTGGCAGAAGTACCATTTATACAGAAGCTTCAGTGGGGTTGGTCCACAAAAGGTTAACCACCACAAGGCCCTCTGCCCACCAGAGCTGTTTACTGTTCACCAAAGAGGCCAATTCATAGGACTCTAAAGAAAAAAAGTGATAATTCATTTGAACCATTATTCTCTTCTATTTCTCCTGAGGGTTTAAGACTTAAGCTTTAGGAATATTCTTCCACAGTGACTTTTCTCTGAGACATCTGATCGAGATTAGCTGTTAGCTCTGATGCAGGGGCTTTTTCTTTTTTTGAGACAGAGTCTCAATCTGTCACCCAGGCTGGCGTGCAGTGGTATGATCTTGGCTCACTGCAGCCTTTGCCTCCCAGGTTCAAGTTATTCTCCTGCCTCAGCCTCCTGAGTAGCTGGGATTACAGGCGTGTGCCACCATGCCCAGCTAATTCTTGTATTTTTAGTAGAGACGGGGTTTCATCATATCAGCCAGGCTGGTCTTGAACTCCTGACCTCATGATCCGCCCACCTCAGTCTCCCAAAGTGCTGGGATTACAGGTGTGAGCCACCGTGCCCGGCCGCAGGAGCTTTTTCTAGATCTTGGAAGCGTCCAGTCACCTGGATGATCTGGGTAGTGTGTGTGTCTCTTGAATGGAGCCGATCTGGGGTGATGGACAGCAGGAGTCAGAAACGCCTTGCAGTTTCCTCCAAGTCAGGGATTTTCCACCATGGAATTGCCAGCATTTGGGGCCAGGCCATCCTTTGTGGTAGTGGGATTGTCCTGTGCGTTGTAAGATGTTTAGCAGCATCCCTGGCCTCTACCTACCAAATGCCAGTAGCACCCCCCTCCCCAAGTTGTGACAACCTAAACTATCCCCAGGGAGGCAAAATCACCTCTGAGAACCATGGCTCTAGATATAAATATGGCAAAGAACTGAAAGCGGTGTTTTTGTTTTTATTTTTGAGACATAGTCTCGCTGTGTTGCCAGGCGCCAGGCTGGAGTGCAGTGGCACGATCTCAGCTCACTGCAACCTCTGACTCCTGGGTCCAGGCAATTCTCCTGCCTTAGCCTCCCCAGTAGCTGGGACTACAGGTGCATGCCACCACGCCCAGCTAATGTTCGTATTTTTAGTAGAGACGGGGTTTCACCATGTTCGCTAGGATGGTCTTGATCTCTTGACCTCGTGATCCGTCCGCCTCGGCTTCCCAAAGTGCTGGGATTACAGGTGTAAGCCACTGCACCCGGCCAGAGTTGTGATTTAAAAAAGTATTTAATTCTGCAAGGAAGATCTGTCGATTAGAGGAAAACTGAGAAAATACAAATGATATATAAAAATCTTCCTCTCATTCATTGAGCTCTTACTGTGTGCTAAGTACTTTATGTAGATTAGTTCACTTGTCTGTCAACATTTGAGGTGGAGTTTTTTTTTTTTTTTT